GGTGTTCTGTATTTTATCTGGCATTCCTACCTCTTTGGCATTTTTTTGAGAAACTGTAGTACCTGCAATCCCCATGACCGACTTCTGTTTTTTGAGAAAGTTTCAGTTTTAACTGGAAATTTTCAAAAATACAGGATGTTTTCAATGCATCCTTATAACTTTTACTTTTCATTACGAAAAGCAATTCTCTCAAAAGAAGTCATGTCATGTGAAAATCAAGAGTTTTGAAAACAACACCTAGGACATTTTCCACTTAGATTAGCTCTTGACAAAGACCCAATTGCAAGAAAATGAAGAGTGTGAAGCACAGACCCAGGAAAAATAATCAACAATGCTACTGTTTTATTTTTTAGGAGGCAACAGAAAGAGGCTTTCAACTATAATAAGCAACTCCAAGCACTAGAAAGACAGGTACGTCAAGCCTTGGCTAGGCCTTGACACTTTAGTCTGTACATTTGGAATGCTTCCTCAAGTAAGTCAAGAGGAATTCATTACTTGAAACAAACTAAAAGAGAATTTGTCTTTTTACAATCCTATAAGTCTCATCAAAAGCCACTATTAAGAAACTAGGCAAGTGACAGATTGGGGGAAAATATTCACAATGCATATACCTGAAAAAGCGTTTGTATATAGAATACACAAAGAACTACAACCTAAAAAGTTAAAGATAAATAAATGGGCAAAATATTTGTACGGGCACTTCAGTGAAGATTATGTACGAATGGTCAAACAAGCACGTAACACATTGCTCAACATCATTAGTCATCAGAGAAATGCCGATTAAAACACAAAGACATACCACTTCACACCCACTAGAATGAGTAAATAAAAAAGACTGACTACACTAAACATTGACCAGGGTGTGGAATTATCTGGGCTCTTCTACACTACTGGTGGTAATGCAAAACGCTGCAACCACTTTGGAGAAAGTGCCAAATTCCTAAAAAGTGAAACATGCATCTAGCTTACAATCTAACAATTCCATTCCAACGTATTTATCCACGAGAAATGAAAACATATGTCCACAATAAGCCTTGCACTAGAATGCTGACAATAGTTTTAAACATAAGAGCTAAACACTAGATGTCCTCCATCAAGGGGAGAAAGTATACACAAACTGTAGGGCATCCATACATCAGAACAACACAACCCACAGTGTTAAAAAGGAACAAATTACTAATATACACAACTTTGGATCAATCTGAAAGATGTATGCTGAGTCAATGAAGCCAGGCCAAAAAAAAAAAAAAAAAAAAAAAA